CTCTCTCGGCCAGGCAAAACAAACCATAAACCAGGACGTGCATTCACCTGGAGAGACGTGGTTGAGCAGGTGACACGTGCATGGGGAATTAATAGTTATTAGACGCGAGCCCGTCATTTGCTCAGCCTTATTCTTGTACCACTTCCACCCTGTTATTTCCTCTTTCCCCTTTTATCCGGTTTTGTCGCGGTGTTACGCGTTCCCCTGTTAAACCACCAGGAAATTTCACCATGGAAATTACCTACCACCGCGACACTGTACCGTCCCTGTCGCTTAATATGGGGATACATTTAATTACCAAACAGATAAATCATGCTCTAACTGTTTTTCTCATCGTTGCCGTAATTTCTAGCCTCTCATTGTGCAATTATAATATCCTACCGCGGTGAAATATGAAAAATTTTCTCACAGAGCGAAGGTGTGTGTTGGTAATCGCTGAAATTGTTAGTAAAGTGGCACTTGGGGATTTGAATTACAATCGTAATGTTTCAACCTACTTTAGGGTTAATTACAGTCACGGAAGATTGTCTTTCAAGTGGAAGATCTCTTCTATTTGGGATTTGCATAGAAATTTATTTCGCATAGTTTATTGCAATTTAAATTACAACCGCGATGTTCAACAAAATTCTAGAATTACTCTAGAGCGTTACTCTTCTCTTTGAAACCTCTATAGAAGTTTATTTCGCAGTAATTTAAATTACAATCGCAGTGTTTAAAAAATTCTAGAAATACTCCGGAGCAGGCGTGTCCAACCTGCGGCCCCGCGGGCCGCAATGTGCCCCTCAACAGCACAATATCGTACACTTTGAACATTATTGTGTGATTTTTAGCGACATTTTTCACGACTCAATTGCATTATAATAAAAAATATTAAAAAATAAAGGAGGTTTTGTTACTTATGTACGATTAACTGTATTATATATTTCGTATGGCCCAGGCAAATCGAAAGGTTGGACACCCATGCTCTAGAGCGTCGATTATAGCGACGGAAGACTGTCTTTCAATAGGAGAAACTCTTCTCTTTGAAACCTCTATAGAAATTTATTTCGCAGTAATTTGAATTACAATCGCAATATTTACAAAAATCCTAAAATTATAAATTAAAGTGATAAAAGATTGCCTTTCAATAGAAAAAAACTCTTCTCTTTAAAATCTCTATAAAAATTTATTTCGCATATCTTATTAAAATTTAAATTACAATCTTAATATTTACAAAAATTCTAGAATTATTCTAATTAAAGTGACGGAAGATTCCCTTCCAATAGGGCAAACTCTTCCATTTGGAACCTTTATAGAAGGTTATTTCCCATATTTCACAATAATTGAAATTACAATCGCAATGTTTGAAAAATTCTGGAATTCCTCTGGCGTCGATCCAAGTGGCAAAAGATTGTCTTTCAATAGGAAAAATTCTTGAATTTCCAGGCAAGACCAGTTCCGGATCCGACTGTGAGAGCGAGCCAGGGATTCCCCTGAAAAGAAAGCAACGCCGAAGCAGAACAACCTTCACCGCTCATCAATTGGACGAATTAGAGCGAGCATTCGAGAGAACCCAGTACCCAGACATCTACACCAGGGAGGAATTGGCCCAGAGGACGAAACTGACAGAGGCTAGGATCCAAGTGTGGTTCAGCAATCGACGCGCGAGGCTTAGGAAACAGTTGTCCTCAACCACTTCCGGTGGTTACGTTAGCTCTGTCGCCTATCCAGCAGCCTCCTACGTTCTTCATCCCCCTGCTGCGCCACATCCACACGCAGCAACCGCTGTTCCACCGAGTCATCCCCATCCTCATCCTCATGGACAGCCTCTGCCTGACACCACTTTTTCGCCCAGTCAAGGTGAGATCGATAATTCCATTTTTTATTTATTTATTTTGTCTTTACAATTTAGATCTTTGTCTGTATATCTGTAATTTTGGGGGATTTTTGGGGCTTTGAAATTTACATTTTTTCTACGTATTTATAATTTAGGTATTTAGATCTTTATAATATAATTTGGAGGAATTTTATAATTCGGATTAGTATTTTATCTGCACATGTATATCTATATATCCATGATTTAGATATTTGGGTCTTTGTAACATAATTTAGAGAAATTGTATAATTCAGACCAATATCTCCAACGAACCTATGAACCTGATAAACAAAACCTAAGTCCTTCTCGTTCCACAAAGTTTTCCTCAGTTATGACGTCCCTACAGAACTTTCTCGAATTTTCGTTAAAACATTTTTCGTCTTCGACACGAACTTACGAGGAGACCTAATACTAACAAAAAATAAAGAACGCCAGAAGAAAGAAGAGAAAAATACCAAGAATTCCATCGCCACCAGCCCGCATTTCACCCATCAATCTTCTAATTTCCAGTTCCTGAGCTGTACACCTCGCACCACGCCGCGATGTCGCACCAGCTGACACCAGATTCGACTCGCCTACCAACGTCCGTCGGATCCACGCCGACTTACGGCCTTCCAACGTCAGTAACCTACCCCAGTTCCCTCTTACCAGCCACGTCCTCGACAAGCACCAGTCACATGAGTCACCAAGTGTCTCCAGTCGCCGCCTCTTCTTCTACCTATCAGCAAGCAAGCAGTCATCAACTTCCTCCGACGCCGAATTCTTTGGTCACCATGATGGGCCCGAATTCAGGAAACTCGAATCCACCGTCAGATCAACTGACCCCTTCAGATCTGCCGATCAGTTCGGTCTCACCTGTCCAGCAACAGCAGCAACAACAACAAGCGAGCCAAGGGAACTCCTCGCCATCTTGGAATCTGCCAATTTCCAGCGGTGGAAGAGTCGGGCTTCCGAGTCCGCCGAGTCTTCAACAGCCGCACGCGCACGCTGCTCATCCTCATCAAGCGTTCGCCAGCCATTACGGCGCTCAAGGCTTCCAGCAACCGCCCAGACCAGCTCCTCACCAACCTTTTTACAGTTGGTACTGAGAAAGAAGGACGTTTTTTGGGTTTTAATTGGTTAAATGTCGTTTTGAACTGGGCTGCTCAGGTGGGATCGGCTAGGGCGCCCGCGGGCAGCTCCGAGGGCAAAGTTTGTGGGCAGGTGGTGTTGAGAGGAATTGAAGCGGAGTGGAGATAGGAATTGTGGTGGGAGTGTAGGTTCTGTCTTCGAAATGTAGATTTGTAGTTTCGTACGCTGCTCCATTGCGAAATTGTTGTTCGAAAAGACGTGGTTTGTTGTGAGAATATCACTCATCATTGCCCTACGGGCAACACGCTGAGCAGCTCTGGTTTCTGGTTTCGAAGGAATTGGAGTGTGTGGAAATGTTTTTTTTTTTGGTGGGAGAATACTCAGTTTTGGTGTAGAGTTTTTGGAAATACGGTAGAATTGAGAGTTTGGTGGATTAACCCTTTGGAACCTGAGCAATTTTTCCTAGACTTTCCTGATTTCCTTCTCCTTCCTTTGGGAGTCAATAGAAGTTAAACAAAAGGGGTAAATAGATTTTGAAAAAATTTCACTGGGTTTAGTTACTTAAAATTTGTATGTACCGTTGAATTTAAATGGTCAAAGGTGTTTTTTCAACAATAGTGCTTATTTAGGCATCGAAGGGTTGAGCGAATTCTCAATATTCTACTGTATCCACGAAAATTTGGACATCGTGTGCGTGTATAATAAAATATTTCTCTGTACATAGTAGGAATTATTTAAGAACTAATTGTAAGATGGAGAAATGCGGAATCTTTGATCGATCAAAGTGAGAACTCAAGTCACGAAAGCAACGTTCGTTACAAAAAATTGATAAAACAACGATAAAAAAGAAATCGCCATAGAATATTGGAGATGTTAAGATTGAAAAGGGAAAATAGGAACAAATGCCAGTAAACGAGATAATTATTTAAGCGTTAGTATAGGAAAAAATTCCTCCGTTCTGGGACGAACCAGTCCAGTGATTGTACTATTAAGAAGCTGTAAATAGTTTATAGTAGCGATCGATAATAGCCATCGAGAGGCAGTTTGCAGGCGACTGTCGTGCGAGAAGTATGGATCGATGGAATTTCTTTCTCCTTTGTAATAATTGTAAATTTCGTTAATTTCTACGTAATTAAAATTAAGTAGTGTAAATATTGGCTTAACTTTATCGTCGGTTTTCGGGCTCTTCTCTTATGGATCGAATTATTTTTAATCCTTAATGCGTATACAGTGCGACCAAAAACGTGTATTTAGTAGTGTATATAATTTTCTAGTTCCTAGGTTTCGCGATCGTTCATCATTTTTCATATCAACGATTCTTCTCTCGTCGAGCAAGCGAAACGATCTCGATCGAATGAATTCAATGAAATTGTTCATTTTCCCTGTCAAGACTCGATTCGATCGAATATCGACGAACGACAAATTTTTGGAAAGTGGTTTTAATCGATTGTTGGCGAGATTTTTAGTTCGAATTTCTGCAAAGTATTGTTGTAAAGTATTATTAAATTGTATGTACGTCGTATCGAATATGTATAATATGGTATTTTGAGGAGTAAGATTATTGAATAAAGTTTTGGAAAAATAGAAATTTCTTTTAGTTACCAAGAGGGAAAAGACGATAGTTTTGAAATTTATTATATAATTTAATTAAATAGAAATATAATTTAGAAAATGAATGCCGTAAGCTGAATATTTAGTGCGTTTCTGATGTCGGTATAATTTCGACGAGATGTTGCCCCTGTTGCTCTGACATCCCGCTTTACCTCTTCGAAGAAGACTTCTACTATTATCATACGTTCCTAACAACTTCGAGGAATATTCAACAAAGAAATACTGGGATGTAATACAAGATAAGTGCCTTTTATAATTATTCTCAATGAATACTATTTATCTCCACATGATTTAACCTATAAAACGAAGATGGTATAAGAATAAGCAACGATAACACACTATTATATTAAAGTAAAACTTGTGTCTAAAAGAACATACGAAAGCAAGCCGAGTTTCCTGCAGTAGGTAATAAATATTTTATTTATTTCACAACAATGCAGTGACAATTTGTTACGATTTTTCTTTCAATTTTCCAATGAAATATTTCACAGAGGAAAAGATTTTTCGAAGCATGAGTTAATAAATAAATAGTGTACTTATAGAAACTGTGGAATTATTATTTGAACATTTAACAACGAGTTAGACAAAGATAGCGATCAACGAGGATTGTATATGTAATTGTCTTGTCTCTATCATCGTCTTGAGAGCATGAAAATTGACTCTAGGAATATCAGAAGTTAGTGTGATAGCAGAATGCGCGAGGAAGTTGTAGACGAAGAGAGCGAATTGATGGGAAAAGGATAGAGAGAAAAGGGCTGCTGTTTACCTAACCGTGTTCCTGTACGCCTGATGTTTTCTCTCCGCCATTAATAAAAACATAGAGCAATCAGATTATATTTCATTAGGCCTGCAGCGTTAATTTTTAATTAATGACGTTCCTGTAGCTAACCTGTATGGTACTTGGAACAATTTCTGCTTGTTTGTTAATTTTCCTTATATTTAGTATGAATTAAGGTGTATCCACGATTGCACCATAAATTGGAATATTTTAACAACGTTCTACAATAATTTTTTCCTTGTTTGTAACAAATTTTTTAATAATATCTTGTTCTCTATTGTCACATTAACGTAAGACTGTTCAACGGCAACAATTCTTGTAATAAAAAGCGTGTAATATAATGAAAACCTCCTACAGGTGTTGCTAATACATCGTGGAATGCGTGTATAGCAAAAAAAAAAATGCTGGACCAATTGTTAGTTTCCGTAAAAATTAATGTTTTTCACTATAAAGTTCAGATCCTATTACGACAGTGTGTTAGACAAGGATAGGAACAGCGGGAGACAAGGATAGCACTAAAGAAATGAGTTAGATAAGGAAAGAAATAGCGGTAGATAAGGATAACAACAATGCCGCGTGTTAGACAAGGAAAGCAATAGTGTTAAATAAGGACAGAAAAAAACAGCAGGCGAGACTAACGCCATCTCGTGGTAGGTGACGAGAATTACCACTTTTTAATAGGATTACAGGATATAAACAGAGGTATTAGACAAGGAAAGCACTAGTGTGCGACAAGGACAGAGAGAGAACGCTTCCTATTGGCTGGCGGGCATCCAAGCTTCACCAATCACGGTCGAAAACCATGTCGGTTGGAGAAAAATCATTAATAACTCATTAATTACGATGATTCTGTGAACTTTTAGAATTGAAGAATGAAGAGTGGACCTTAAGCAACTTTCACATATACTTTTTAGTTCGCCAACTCCTTCCAGTAATTAGTTATTAACAATTATTGTGAAGAACGTCGGAAACGGTAGGACTCACATGTACGGTTTTTCATTAATATCATTGTCAGTAACAATTTCCGGTACATGTTTCTATATGAATATAAAAGGTAACATCTTTAGCTATATTCTATTATAATTTTCATTAAGATATCCCTTGTAGTTTGAGAGTTATTAATAATTCTTTGGGTGAGTACTAAACTCGTCGCATTCTGGTATAACATATTTTCGTTATTTCTATAAAAATGCACGATTAATTGTATACTTTTATGCATGTAGAATGTAGCACGGTCTTTTCTTTACATTCTTCAATAATTTTCGTACACGTATCTAATACGGTTAATTAAATATTAACGATTGTTTAGAACAGTTCGGCATGCACGGGTACGATAAGCCGGTAACTCTTCAATGTAATATTTAATAACTTCTAAACTACGAAAGATATGATAATAAAAATTATAAAAGAATGTAGCTAAAGGAGTTGTTTCGTTATTTCAGTAGAAATGCGTGATAAATTATGCACTTTCAAGCATGAAGAATGTAGAATGAACTTTTATCTATATTCTGCCATTAGTTTAGTAGCTCTAAGTTGTGTGGTTCAATTGATATTAGCAATTGTTTATAACAGTTCACTATATACGAGTACGATGTATAGGAGACGCTCCCATATAATGCTTAATAACTTCTAAACTAAATGGAATATGTTAATAAAACTTATAAAAGAATGTAGATAAAGGAGTTGCCTTTCAGATGAATACAGTTAGTTGCATGGGAATTTAGTAGAAAGCTATGAAATTATTGAAAAACCGGGAACGTATTAAACCCGTTTACATACGTCGCATTCAGGCGTAACACATTTTCGTTATTTCAGTAGAAATGCGTGATAAATTATGCACTTTCAAGCATGAAGAATGTAGAATCAACTTTTATCTATATTCTGCCATTAGTTTAGTAGCTCTAAGTTGTGTGGTTCAATTGATATTAGCAATTGTTTATAACAGTTCACTATATATGAGTACAATGAATAGGGGACGCTTCCATATAATGTTCAATAACTTCTAAAATAAACGAAATATGATAATAAAAATTACAAAAGAATGTAGCTAAAGGAGTTGTCTTTCAGATGCATACAGTTATTTGCACAGGAATTTAAGAGAAAGCTATGAAATTATTGAAAAACCGGGAACGTATTAAACCCGTTTACATACGTCGCATTCAAGGGTAACACATTTTCGTTATTTCAATAGAAATGCGTGATAAATTATGCACTTTCAAGCATGAAGAATGTAGAATGGACTTTTATCTATATTCTGCAATAAGTTTGGTAACTCTATGTCGTGTGGTTTATTAGATATTAGCAATTGTTTATGACAGTTACCCATACTTACATACGATGTATAGAGAACACTCTCACATAATGTTTAATAACTCCTAAACTAAACCGTATATGTTAATAAAAATTATAAAAGAATGTAGCTAAAGGAGTTGTCTTTCAGATGAATATAGTTAGTTACATGGGAATTTAGTAGAAAGCTATGAAATTATTGAAAAACCGGAAAGATATTTGACGGTACGCGGTATCGTTCCCGACATCACGTGCTAAAAATATTAATAACTAATTATTGAGAGGGTCTAGAGAACTAAAAAGTATATGTGAAAGTTGCTGAAGGTTCACTCTTCATTC